GATATAGTTTCTTTTGACCAAACCATTCAGTTCAGAGAACAAAACTCCACCCAAACACATTTGTTATATCCCGATATGAATAATAAATGGTAAGTTTTGGGATCTATTTCTGGACTAATGCTATACGTATATTTTTATTGTATAATTGTTAAGTGACTAAACTATTCATATTCCTGTTCCTCTTATCATAAGCTTTATTTTGACCTATGAACTGTTATTATACGATTTTCGATTCTTGAATTATACCCAGTCGGTCAGTTACTACCTCTCATATTCACAGCCACTTTTGGTCAAATCTTATAGAAATGTTGTTTCCCATTTTATGCTACGATGTGGTCTGTCTGGTTGGTATATGAACCTAGTATGTTTGAAATATAACGATTCATATCGCATAGGCTGCGACTGATGTTCTGCACTGAATAGGCAGGGCTAAGAAGGAAGCAGGACCGATAAGGACTGTGGACTGCTCGTACGTGTTTATGCGTCATTGATCCAGTCGATAAATCACTGTTCTCTAATTGGCGTTATCATCATGTTATACATCAACAGGGCACACATGGCATAAGTTATAACAAATGAATAAGAATGAGCATAATTTTATTGAAGAAAATTTTCTTATTAATGATTTCATTTCATGAGGCTAAACAATCATCCATTATGTTGTTTGTTTTAGGCCAGTTTAATATGATGTGACTTATTTACCAATCGGAATACGTCTTATACAATCTTAGTAATGTGTTAAATCAATGATGTCCGACTGGTATGAGCAGCCTAATGCCCTTATTGATCCCTTATTGTATTGTATCTTTCTATTGTTATTTGGGACTGCAGTTGATCAGTCTCATGTCGGCATATGTGCATCCTGTGTGGATTGCCTCTATATAGTCTCAAGTTACAAGCTTTTTAAGCAAAGATGGATAGTAGGTAGCAATCGAATCCTGTTTGACGCACATTTCGTCGGATTTCAGACTTGTCACCTAGATGTACCTGCATCTCGTAGTTGATGTTCACTCCGGGACTCGAACCCAGTACTGTTCGCCTCATATGCCATCTTAGGTACTGAGTCCTCAGTGAACATCATTTCTGAGATGCAGGTACATCCAGCGAACGAGTCCCAAATAAGACGAAACGTGCGTCCTGGATTTCACTACTATCCACTACCCATCTTTGCTTAGATATTTCAGTTTTAGAAAAAAACGTTTAACGATTGGCCTAGCAAAGTCAATAAGTAATATAGTGGCATGTCGATGGATTGAACTGACGACTGAGCTTTACCACAATTACAATGAAGATGAAAATGTAGACAAATATATTTCAAATCAATAATTTAAAAATGTCACGTCTATAATGAAATAAATAAAGATTCTTTTTACAATTCCGGTTAATACTTGTTAAGGAGTAACAAAAACGTTTCTACCATTCATTTACTATTCTTCTGTTTAAATTACAATAATAATAATCTTGACTATATTACGCAACAGCAATTTCTATTTTATTGACTTCCATTATGGGTAACTTGTGTCAACTATAAATGGACTAATGCTATGCATATATTCTCATGGTATAACTGTTCAGTAATTAGATTATGTATATTCATATTCCTCTTATTATAAGCTTCATTGTGATCTATAGACTATTATGATATGATTGACTGTTCTTAAATTATACTCAGTTTATTGATCAAAGTCTCACCACAATCACTCCCACAGCCACATCTTGACTTCACCTTGTATAGATGTTATTTCCTATTGGATAGTGTGATGCGGCGGTGTGTTTGGCTGGTATATAAACCAAGTATGTTTGAAATGAATGAATCACATAATGGAAGCTGTTATTGACGTTCTGGATTCAACTGAACGGGGTCTAGGCAAACAGTACTTACTACTACTTACGCCTGGTACTCCTCGTGAAGGAGCATAGGCCGCTTATCAGAATTCTCAATCCAACCCTCTTCTCAGCAATTCTTTCCAGCTCCTTCCAGTTGTTATTCATCCTTTTCATATCTGCTTCTATTTACCAACGTAATGTGTTCTTTGAACTTCCTCTTTTCCACTTACCTTCAGGATTACAAGTTAGCACTTGCCTTGTGATGCAGCTTGGTGATTTGCATAATGTATGTCCTATCCACCACATCCAACGTCTTTTCCTAATTTCCTCTTCAGATGGAAGGTGGTTTTTTCTCTTTCACAAACGGCTATTGTTGACAGTATCCAGCCAACGGATGTTGAGTATCTTGTGTAGACAACTATTTATAAATACTTGTATCTTCTTGATGATGGTTATAGTAGTTCTCCAAGTTTCAGCTCCATATAGTAGAACTGTCTTGACGTTCATATTAAAGATTCTCACTTTGATATTGATTGAAAGTTGTTTGCAGTATTCATCTTAAACTATTTCACACTGTTAGAATCGTTCAATTAATAAATTTCTTATTGTTTATTCATTTCTTTATTTGACAACTTTTTCTTTTTATAGAATTTCTATACTACTCAAAAAGAAATCATTTCAGACAATTTTCACCTTCTATATTATTGATTTCATATGATTTTTATTTAATGAGATTTACAAATAGTTGCTAGGTTGGTTGGTTGCTTGGTCGGTTGGTTGCTTGGTTGGTTGGGTGGTTGATTGTAACCTTTTTATTCTTTCTTAAATGATTTCAAAGAAAATATTCAAAAGATTGCGGAATAATGTAGTTTTTTCTTAATATACATAGTATAATATAAATGTATGTTAAAGCGGAAACGGTTAGACAAAAGTCTACATATATAACTTGTCATAATTCTCAACTGAACATTGTGTATTAATACAACTTGTACAACTGGTTGTCATTTGTTTTCCGTCTTATTTTCTTTTTTTTGTAACTATGACTTTGCTTTATGTTGTTGTTGTTGTTGTTGTTGTTGTTGTTGTTGTTGTTGTTGTTGTTGAGGATGCTGTTTGAATGTTAAATTTCATTATTGTGAGTTGACCTACTCAATGTGCATTTACGAATTCATCTGCTCTTGTAGAGCTAGTTATATTAGCCGTACTATCAGGCAACTTAACCAACGAATGAGTGAACATCTACGAGTATGGCTTATGAGTTGCTTACTTATTTATGCCTGTTACTCCAAGTGAAGGAGTATAGGTCGTCAACCATCATTCTCCATCCAAAACTGTCCCCGGTAATCCTTTCCAGTTATTTCTAGTTGTTATTCATCCTTTTCATATCTGCTTCTATTTATCGGCATAATGTGTTGTTTGAACTTCCTATTTTCCACTTACCTTCAGGATTACAAGTTAGCACATGCCTCATGATGCAGTTTGGTGATTTGCATAATGTATGTCCTATCCACCACATCCAACGTCTTTTCCTAATTTCCTCTTCAGATGGAAGGTGGTTTTTTCTCTTTCACAAAAGGCTGTTGCTGATGGTAGAAGAATTTTCTATAGTGTTCTCCTATCTACACTTTCGAACGCATTTTCACGAATGATAAAGCTGATTGTTCGACGATGATCCATAGTGTCGCAATTTGATCTGTGAACGACCGATCCTTACGGAATTCAGCCAGTTGATCTCAAAGTTGGGCGTATTTCATCCGGTTCAGCAATATTCTGTTGAGGACTTTCCCTGGTTCTGACAGTAGTTTGATGCCTCTGTAGTTTTCATATCTGCTCAGGTCTCCTTTCTTTGGAATCTTGATGAGGTATCCTTCCGTATCTAACCTTTGTTGTCCAGCTTTGGTCCAATGGGTTTCGCTGATTCCCAGTACTTCCAATTTGTATCTCCTCATTTCCATTGCTATTTGACTGATCTTCCCGGTTTCCCGAATTTTCCGAATGTTCCATTTGCCTATAGAAATCCTTGCTCTGGTTGTTAGAAGAGGCATCAGCCTCCTGACTTCTAAAGGGACTCAGCTTTCACCATGAGGCGTCATAGTTCTTCTAAATGAAAGCCTTCTAACTCCCAGGGCAGAGTTTAAATGATTTAAATTATTTTTTATTATTAGCGTTTTTTAGCGAGTTAGTTTTCTACGAGATGGGTTCGCTAACCCCATTCCCAACCCTCCTCCTTTACCCAGGCTTGTGACCGACAGTAACTCTGGAAGAGATACAGGCGGAGTTCATGATTAGAGTAAAGCCTGATGACGATCTAATTGAAAACACTATTGTTCGTTTACATGTATTATTCTAATTTTTTTTGTATTTATTTATTCCTAACATTTAGATAATTCATCTAATGAACAAACCATTCTTAAACCATTAATACCAAGACGTGAAGAAATCCCATTATTACCTAGAGACAATTTATCACAATATCAAGCATCTATGAATTGGCCAAAATCATCTATTATTAAAGAAACATCAACTGGATCGATTTCACAAACATCATTAGAAACAAATTGTTTATTAATAAATAATGAAGAAAAAGATCAAGTCGCATTAAAACAATCTAATAAACACCAATTATTTGATAATATAATTGGTAATACAAATGTAGTCAATCGTATAGAAGATGAAAATAGTTATAATAATACTGGGGATATTAAAAAGGATATTAAAAATCAATATTTACCAATATCTAATGTTTGTCCCAATACTCTGGTCGATAAAAATTATAAACTGTCAACGAATACTACTGATAATAATATAAGTAGTAAAACGAATAATGATGAAATTTCCTATTCAGAAAATATTAAATTATCATATATAAATTATAAAACACCATGTTTTTCATTTGATGAACATAATAATATAGAAGGAGAGAATTATTTACCATCCGATAATAGTTTAAATCAATTAGAAGAATTATTAACATTACGTAATAATAATAATCAATATGAAATTACACCACCACGTTTATCATGTGTATCTGGGGATAAATTAGAAATGAAATTTATTACGGGTTCAAATGCACCAATATAATTTCTATTGTAGGGTATGGATGTACGTTTGTATATATATGGATTGATATAATTATACTACTTATTAATGAAAAGCCATAGAATTGTGTTCAGTCAAATATTTTGATTCATTTTTGTTGAATATTCAAGTGTATTTTGTAACCAAGCAACAATAGGTAATTCATTATTATTATTATTATTATTATTATTATTATTATTATTATTATTATTATTATTATTATTATTATGTAATACATCCTTGTTAGGAATGATTGGATGAAACGATTGAAGAGATTCATTTATTAGATGCTTATTTGCAACAACAACAACATTAACAGCAACAAAAATGACAGAAAGGAAACACATTTGAACAGTGATTGAACTTATTCTATCGTCTATAAAACTATGATGTAATTATATCAAGTAATGCTTTGTAATGTATTCAATGAGTAATGAATAAACAAAACAATGTATATTTTAATCAATACTTTATATTACATTATTATTCATTAAAGTTGAAAAAATGAGCATAAAAGGGGTTTTGTGGATATTTTAGTAATTTATTTAATAGTTAAGATCATGATTCAATTGAAGTTGGATCACTATGGAAAACCTGAAAGTACTAGATGATCGTTTTGTCCCAGTGTTAGACTCCTCATTAGTGTGCATACACAAACCCAATTCGTGAAATTCAAACAGAGGATCTATCAGTGTTGTGCGTGAACGCTTCAACTCTAACCAGCCGGCATCCATGGGTGTTAATGTCTTACTTCAACCAATCCACAATTGTCATCAGTGAGTTACTATCTGACAACAGACCAGGTCGAACTCCACTAGTGACTGCTTCTCACTAGAACTTTAGGAAATACCTCTTAAATCTAGTCACTAGTAGGCATATGTTGATTAATGTCAAAACGTGAATGGTTAGTTCAGTCGCTTCATTTTTTAGCATAAAATATGAAGTACTAAAAAGAAACAGTTTTGTTTTCATATTTTGCTAAAATGTAATTCAAAAAGAGTATTGTTATAACTTATGAACCTGTGCGCTCTGTTTATTGTATAACACAACGATATCCTCAATCAGAGAGCAGCGAATTATCGATCGAACCAGTGACGCATAAAACACGTGCCAGCAGCTTAGAGTGTTGATTGGTCCTGTTTTCGGCCTAGCTCAGTCAGTTGAGTCCAGAACACAAGTCTCAGCCTCTGCAATATGAATCGTTTATTTCAAACATACTGGGTTTATATACCAATCAAACAGACCACACCGTACCATAAAATAGAAAATAACATTTGTACAAAATTTGACCAAATGTGGCTGTGAATATGGGAGGTAATAACTAGTAGACAGGGCATAATCCAAGATTGGTAAAACGTATAATAATGGTTCGTAGGTCAAAATAAAGCTTATAATAAGAGAAACATAAATATGAATACTTTAATAACATAACAACTATACGATAAAATTATACGCACAGAGTTGGTCCATAAATGGCGCCCAAAAATTACCATTCATTATTCTTATCGAGATATAACAAGTGTTTCTTCAGAAAGTGGGGTTTCACTATTCTAAATGAAACCAAACTTATTCGTTTGCTTAAATATCAATATTTGAAAAAATACTGGGAAGATTTGAATTTCACAGATGACTTAGCCCTACTATCCCATACACACGAACAAATGTAGATGGAGACAATTGGTGTAGCAGAAGCTTCTGGATCAGTAGACCTCAGTATATACAAATGAAGAAGCAATATCCTCAAATACAACACGGAGAACATCAATCAAGCCAATCACACTTGATAGGGAAACTCCGAGATAAGTGGAAACGTTCACGTATATAAAATGGTCAGCATAATCGATGAAAAAAGAGGATCAGATATAGACGTAAAGGTGAGGATTGGTAAAACAAGGGCTGCATTCTTACAAATCATCAAACTGCATCATGAGGCATGTGCTAACTTGTAATCCTGAAGGGAATTGAAAAAGAGGAAGTTCAAATAACACATTACGTCGGTAAATAGAAGAAGATATGAAAAGGATGAATAACAACTAGAAATAACTGGAAAGGATTGTCCAGGACAGGGTTGGATGAAGAATGGTGGTGGTCGGCCTATGCTCCTTCACGTGGAATAACAGGCGTAAGTATTACAGGAGTTAATGTTTGAGTGACGAACTGTTGGTGTTCTGGTGAGAAGCCATTACCTGTGGAGTCCAATCATATAGGGGATGTGTGATAGTTCTCCGATATATGTGGTAGGAGATGATTGCGTATTATCTCAAACTAATTGAAGTTAAAGATGCAAAGAACTAGATACCAGCTTAGTGGTCTATAGGTCCAGCGCTCATTGCAGAACATAAAGGTTTTTGTATTCGATTCCTGGCTGTGGGATTTTAAATGGTCACTGATGACTCCTATTCTAAGGAAACAGTCATTCAGTGCTTCCTGGTTCTTAATGCGGTCTAACTAAAAACAGATCGTGATTACAACTATGAAATTAATTGTTTGTAAATTTATAACTTTGATATTGAAAGTCGTTGGAGTCGACCAATAATAGTAATAAAACTAAAGAGTTGGATGTTTTTTATTCTAAATGCGTTAAATCGAATATCAAGAGAAAGTGTAGTAAACGCAACTCATAAGATTGTTTGTTGATAACATGTAGTGGAACGTTTTGTCAAGTTTTCGACAATTGTCGGATACAGCGAAAAGTTTCAGTACATCTAAAGCATAGCTTAAGCAGAACACTTGGAAGTTAGTTGAGAAGATAGTTCAGATTGCAAAACACATAGGAAGATTAAAATGAACGAATGAAGGCTGTGCATACGTATTATGTAAATAGTTTGTAACTTCTCGCGAACAAGATGCATACGTTCTGCCTGTTGTCGTCTTTTACACAAGTCCTTACATTGCACGATCATAATAAAAATACTTTGAGTATTTCTTTCATCATGGACAGATTTTAGTTAAACAACTATTGAAATCCAGGGAATATTGGAAAGCTGTTTCATCCTAGCATGGGACTCCTGAACAGTTGACACTCATGAGTGTGAAGATGCCACAGGTATATGGAGTTTGACAATGCTTTACCTAGTAACACCTACTATGAATCGTACCCACCAAGTGAAATCAAAAGACAGAAGCGAGGAGGTTCAAAGATATATTTGATAGGCTATCAATATATTGAGAATCAACTGATCTAGATTGGCTAGCGATTTCAGGGGTTAATGAGCACGGTGTTTCCACTCGTGATCTGGTGCGGATGCATGACCGAGTGCCTTCAGCTAAGTGATTCCATTAAAACTAATATGGTCAGCATCCAATATTGAAGACTTACAGAGCTATTTATTTTGGGGATTTATTTACCGCTTCAAGTGTATGACCTTTGTTGTGACATGTGAACACTTAATCACTAGACTATTGAGTCAGTATCAAATTTTGTTTATATCTAACTTCAACTAGTTTACCCTGTTACCCTACTATCTTTCATTCATTGAGATGTAAACTGAAAAAAACAAGGTTAAGTAATGATTACATAATTGTTTCACTTTGATTCAATATGAGCACGTGAACAAATATTGAGATGATTTAGCAAACTAAGATAAAGTAACTATCTAATGTTCTATGTATCTTAATAATTCTCCACCCTGTATCAGTTTATAACGGAAATAATTGTTGTAACTGTGGGAAACTGATACTTGAGATAAGAGAATACTGATCTATACAACAGATAAGAAAGAAGTTTAAAACTGATTTCAGATAAGGATTTTTACTAACTCTTCAACAGCAACGAAAAAAACAACAAGGATAACGACGATTTTAACCAAAATACACTAATTTATGGACAAATGATGATTGGATAATGGACACTAGTTAAAAAGTGTAATATTGGACATTAGTTATACTGAATGAAGTCATTATTTCTCATTTTAATCCTGTCTTAAATGTACATGTATGTTACAACGCTTAGATTTACTTCATCTAGGCAAATGGGATGTTAATTTACTTCTTTACGACTGTTACTTCTCAAGGAGGAGAATAGACCGACCACCACCATTCTTCATCCAACCCTGTCCTGAACAATCCTTTACAGCTCTTCCAAGTTGTTATTCATTCTTTTCATATCTGCTTCTATTTACCGACGTAATGTGTTCTTTGAACTTCCTCTTTTCCACTTACCTTCAGTATTACAAGTTAGCACTTGCCTCATGATGCAGTTTGGTGATTTGCATAATGTATGTCCTATCCACCACTTCCAACGACTTTTTCCTAATTTCCTCTTTAGATGGAAGATGGTTTGTTCTTTCTCACGGTAGGCTGTTGCTGATGGTATCTGGCCAACGGATTTTGAGTATCTTGAGTAGACAGCTATTTATAAATACTTGTATATGTTTGATGATGGTTATGGTAGACCTCCAAGTTTCAGCTCCTGTAGAAAACTAACTCGCTAAAAAAACGTTAATTTAACGTAATCGAATATCTACAGTAGATACCCTCCCAGTGTCTATTCTACAGGAATTCAACAGAATTCAGATCAAGAACACATGATTAGCCTGACTAGAACGTAAATATATTTGCAAACCAAAAATCGATAACAATCACAGTAATAGTAAGGATAAGAGAATAGGCAACTCATCTAGTACCTATTAGACTATCTAGTGGTTTGATTGAGCAAACAACTAATCATCATCATCCTTATCCACATATCAAAGTGTGAATCGAATTATCTGTACTAACAAAACAAATAAACATAGTTTAAACCATTAAAATAGACGACGTGACAGTCAACAAAATAAGATTATGTAAAGCATAAAATAAGTCTGAATATCATGTTATTCATAAGTAAAGATGAATAGTGGCTAGCAGTGGAATCAAGGACACGCGTTTCATCCTATTTGAAACTCGTTATCTGGATGTACATGCATCAGAGAGTTGATGTTCACTCCAGGACTCGAACCCGATGCCGTCCGTTTCAAACGTCTTCGCGTTATCCACTTAACTTCTGTGTGTACAGTTAAAGTTTTGAAAGTGTTTTTGAAGTGGTTAGCCATCTCGTGTTCTACGAAAAAAACTTTATTTTAGACTGATAAATTAAAAGTTATCCCATAAGCAATAATAAATTGAATTTATTTTACTTTTGAATAACTACACTACTCACAATTTGATAGTAGTTTAATTGTTAGACAACATTAATTGGGGTAACAAAATGACCATTCTGAGGCCCAAAAAGACGTTGAACACTGATACCAATAAACTATAGACAAATTCATCATAACTCTGAAAAAGTAAATCGTCACGTCTCATTACAAATAAGAGAAACTCAACTGATCGCAATGAAAATAGAGTCATGATATTTCTTTGCTTA